ATTTGTAGTTTATATTATCTAGACCAACGGTTCCCAAACGGGGGTCCGCGGACCCCTAGTGGTCCGTAGTAAAATCCTAGGGGGTCCGCGAAGACGAACGAAAAAAACCATGAATAAACAATATTCTGCTTTTATATGTATGTACAAATATATCCAATTTTTGTGCAATAATCCCAAATTTTTTGGTGACTTTTTGAATTTTATTTTTTCGGTTGTTTATCAGGAAGAAGCTAGGCCCTACAAATTTATTGTATAACTTTTATAAAGTAAAGTACTGCGTGATTTGTAATTTTTATTTCCTGTATATGTACTGAAATAATGGTTTTTATTTCAGACAAATAATACTCTGCCTTACAATTAAATTAGGGATACTGGTATTCCGGAGTATGAAGTTCAATTCAAATACAAGCTTATTACAGATTTAAGTTTATCAAATTGTAAGCAAAAGTGTTCTCGTTTGAAAGGACAACAATTATATATTTCCAAAACAGAGGTGACTCTTTATGCATCTCTTTATAAATATTACAATCCGACGTGATACACAGATTTTAACTTGATTTTGTCGACCAATACATATTATTAAATTAACATCAGAAAATCCATAGCGTTTCGCGTAAATATGTAGCCAAAAACCATGAAGTAAAATAATTCGTTGGTATTTTAAAATTCAAATTTAAGTTCCAAATTCACACTACTTTAACAAAGAGTTCAAATCATATATTATGCGGATAACGCATTCCGCAACAACATAGAAGAAGTCCATCTTTCTTATATTATTTTCCCGAAAACTTAGCTCACTTACTCAGTTCACCCTTTGCAATCGCAACAAATTTTTGAAAGCACATGTGACAATATTTGATAAAGAAACTACCTTGAAGAAAAATGAACATGAAAGATCTCACGATCATAAAATTAAACATCATGTTAACATATCAACAAAGAAGTCATTCTATCTTCAAAACATGCAATTGAAAACCTATCTGAAATAATATATATTCTCAATGTACGGGAAAAAAAATATGTATGGGGGTCCGCGAAATTAAATAAGCTCTTCAAGGGGTCCGCGAAGTAAAAATCAGTGGGAACCGCTGATCTAGACAATAAAATACTCTGAAAATACTTAATTTAAAATGTACATCAATCAATCAGTAAAAAATGCGATTTTCTCTAAATCCACCGAGTTCAAATCGCAGGTACAACTACTTACAGTATTGATCTATTATTGTCCACATAAATAAATCCCCATGAGATGATATTGAAAAAATTTTAAAATTTGTTTAATTAACAAACGAGTTTTGAGTCGTTGATTGACGCTGCTCACTCAAAAAATTATTAATCTATGATTAATTTTTGAAAAATTTGATTGAGTACTTCGGGATTCCACGAATCAAAAATGTATTTGCTGTCAAATTCGAGGGATTCTTTCTATAACTCGGACAACCTCGTGCAGAGCCTGTCTCCGTAGATCGATCTACCTTTAAGGTAGGAGGCATGTTGACTAGTTAAAAAAAATATTATAAATATGAATATTATTCTCTGTAGCGAAAACATCTTTTTTGGCAAAAAACCCATCTAGTCTAGTCCTGGTGATTAAAATGGGGGAGCAAGAGAACCTCAAGCGCCCAAAAAATCCTATCATGGGAGAGACTTGATTCCCCCGATGGAGTCCTTCTCCTACTTTCAAAATCAGTTTCCGCGACGGCATCCTTTGCAACCCGGGAAATGTGTTTTTGCTGCTAATGAACTTCCGGCCGAGTTGTTCTTTTTTTTTTGGATTTTGGTTTAGCATGACTCTTTGTCGAACTTCAGGTACGTACGTACTACTCCCACTCCGCAGACTGCGGTCGAAAAAGAGCTACAATTAGGAAACAATATGACTGACTGAGGGGGTAAGTAATAAGTAGGAAGTAGAAGACGGAAAAAATAGAATTTAAAAAAAATTATATGAATAAAATGTAGAGGGAGTGAGGGAAGGAAGGCGAAAGAAGAAAGCAAGAAAAAGGGGGACGGAACGGAGTGCTAAAAATTTATGAAACGGGCGTACGGACGGTCCAAAAAAAGATGTAAGTAGTAGGTAGGTTAGGTTGATAGGAGGTATGTATATAAAGTATATCAAATCCGAAGAAAATATACCTAGGCCACTATCGGGCCTGTTGTGCGCCTCTTTTCATGAAAAAAAACCAAAAAAAAAAAATTGTTCACTGAGTATTTTTCAGGGTTCAGAAATTCAGTTTCCTGGAGGTAATTCCTAAGAATTTTCCAATCAGTGTTAGTCAGAAAGGTTATTTCCGGAATAACATCGCTTCCAAGATCTTGGATCATCTATCTAACTTCGACGAATACTTGACAGTGGCAAAGAAAGTGCTCCAGAGTTTCACTGTCCTCTCTACATGCTCTTCATTCGTCTGAATCCGCACGGCCAATTTTGTATAGATGTGCTCGTAATCCTGTGTGTCCACTCAGAATACGTACCATCATACCAACTACAGACTTGCTCATTTTGAGGAGTTTTTCGTCTTGCCCTCATCAGGGTCACCCCATCATAGGATCTTTGTGGTTTTACCCACCGTTTCATTATTCCAAAAGGTCTTATCGGATTCTCTCACCCATATTTTTAATTCAGCTTTTTTTGCGTCCAATGGTTTTGCGTTTGTCAGGTTTACTACCTCGAGCTCCCTTCCCTTTAAAGCTATTACATTCGCCCGACTACTCCCAAGTGTCCTGGTACCCATATGATGTAGACCTTACCTCTAGGGAGTATTCAGTTAAAGCTTTCTTACAATCCAATACGGTCTTAGATTTAGTTCTATCACCTTATATCGCCCTAATTATTGCCTTCTGGCTGTCGGTAAATATATTAAGCGCTGTGGGCGTCATGTTTATTCTAATCCAATTTACGCATTCCGTTATTGCTCGGACTTCTGCCTGGAAGCTTGTGTTATGATTAGGTAAACGGTGTTATATTTCTGTTTCTGGGGTCTTCAATATAAGAAGAGACCCCAGGCCCAATTTAGATCCATCCATATAACAACGGATTCCTACTATAGTATTTATTTGCTCTAGTTTTCCGCTTGACCAAGACATTCTATCTGGGATCAGCGTTTCAAAGTCACCGACATATTCTGTGTCTGGTATGCGATCGGGCACGTCCGATGATTGTGTTATAACCTTCCAATGTGTCCAGTATATACATTGATGACGTGTCCTATAACCGCTTTTGGCCAGTTCGCCTAAACTAAAGAGCGATTCGGCTGTAAGCGCCGCCTCATATCTTAAATATGTTTCAATGGGTGGAATATCTAGCAACGTTTCCAGAGCTTTGGTTGAAGTAGTACACATGGCACACCACTTATACCCAAGCTGAACTGCCTGTAGTGTTGATATTACACTTTTTGTCCAAAGCAGTCCACCAGATTATTGAAGAATAAGCTAGAATTGGTCTAATTACACTTTTATAAAGCCAATTTGTCAAGGACCCCATTTCATGCCTATAGGTTTCCTACATATCGCCCAGCACCGATGTGCCTTGTTGAGCCTATCCTCTAATTACACCTAAGTACTTAACTTTGACTTTCACCGGTATCTTCTTGCCCAGGAAGCAAGGTTCAGTTATACGTAGAAATTTTTGTCTTTCTAGTGAAACGACAGATTTCTGTCTTCGCCGGGTTAACTAACATTGAGGCCTCTCGGTTGAGCCCCCCAGCTCAAGGCCGTATTCAGAGCCTCCTCAGGCTCAAGTAATTTGGATCCTTTCCCCTTAAAAGTATGACATACGGCCCTGCAGCTTTATAGGGATGCTCTTGATTGCCCATTTAACCATATCAGATGTAATTACAATTTCCGTGTTAGCCTCCCTCCCCTTCCTCCAATATCGGTTCATCTATGTTATTCGATATACCGGGTGGAAAATGATAGTCCATTAGGAGTTTCATTGTCTCCTCCATATCCTCCAGCCTCCTGCCCGTCTCATCGACCATAGAAATCCATAAGGGCTTGTCTCCTGCGATTGGTGTTTGTTTGTACTATCCCAAGCTACCCTTTTTTGTGCCTCCTCAACCCAGTTCCATCAAGTTCCGACATTGGTGGTAGTGTCGGAGAATCTAAAGGCGGGTAAATAATAGATGCAAAAAGGTAATATAATATGTTGCCACTACCTTGCTTTCAGTACGGTTGCATTCGATGTGGATGGATAATCCTCTTGAGAGGAGAAAACATAAGTTCTTGTGACATAAAATTTAATTAAAATCGGCCGAACCGTTTCTAAAAAATATCGATTTTAAATAATCTAAAAAATAACCAAAACCAAGCACATTTTTTACTAAATAAAAATTAATAATACCTACCAAAAAAAAAAAAAAAAACACACACACACATACATGGCAACACTATTTTGTGGTTTGGGACTTTGCTAAAAAACATTTTTTTGCTGATTTTTTCCCAATTCTCATTTGGTTCATAAAAAATCTTTTGAATAATAAGAACGGAAAAATTTCGTGTCTTTTCAACCTCACTTTTTTGAGTGGGTCGACGACGGGTTTGGTGGTGTGTGAGGGGGCTGATTAATAATTTTCAAATTTTTTTTTCGAATAAATTTTTTTCATTAAAATTTTTTAATTTACCACACCGTGTGTGTGGGTGAGTTTCGTCCGGGTGTGGTGAGTTTCTTAAGTGTGGTGAATATAATGTTATTCACCACACAAACCGTTATTCAAAAATTGAACATCATTGCCGACAGACTGCATTATCACAATGATAAACACTGCCTTACCACAAATTTGACCGTTTTACCTTACCGTTACAGCGGTTTTGGTATTTACTAGGCGACAATTTGATTGGCAACTCAATGAGGAGTAAATACTAAAACCTAGTAAAAAAGACACGTCACTTACTTCAAGCTTAAAATAAAAAATGTGGGCAGCACAATATTTTCTGACATTTCATGATTTTCTCTCATTCCATATATTCATGGAAGAATATGAAGAAAGAAACAAAAAGTAAGTAGTCTATTTCCAAGTCTCTTATCGTAATGTTTGTGTTGTAATCTTGCGGTTTTATTTCTTCTGTGTGTAAAAAAATTTAATTTCTTTGGTTTAATAAAAATTAGAAAAAAGTTATTTTAAAGAAAAAACATTTTTTGTTTGCGGAGTGAGTGAGAAGAGACTTTTTTTATTTATGTCGCAAAAATAGAAAACCGTCCGTCCAAATTAATAAAAAAGATTCGTGTGGTAAAAAAAAGTGAGTAGTTTTTTTAGTTGGAGTGAATTTTGTGGAAACAACGATTAAAAAAAAATTAAAAAATCATCGGGCGAAAACTTTTGTTTGTTTTTGTCGCCTCTCTCGATTACTTTTTTTATTCATTTGTCACCAAAAAGTGAAATCATTTTTGTTTTCTTCATGTAACAAAGTAAAGCTGTCTGTAATAAAGAAGAAAGGTAAGAAAAATAAAGAAAATAAAAAGATTAAACAAAGAAAGAAATATAAAAAACATTTTATTATATATAGTCCAGGGATGGAAAATTAGTAAAAAAAATCACATTGCTCTTCCTGCACTCGGTTTTTCAAACGGTTTCGGTTTTTAACAGAAATGTGTCCCACTTTTTTCAATTTTTTTTTTAAATTGAACTAGATCTAAATTTATAATCTTTTAAAATGAAAAAAAAAAGTTCGGGCAATCAAATTTAAACATAACATTTTCTTTTTTTTTTTTCAAAATAAAATAGATTTTGTTATTTATAATTGATGATCCCTCCACATCCATTTATGGTAGTCCAAAAACTACTCCCCTCAAAAATTATTGGTTGGGCTGGGGGTATAAAGCGCTTTCGAATGGCAGAATTTGCCCCCAACTCTTTTCACTTCAATTTTGTTAATTTTTAAATATGAAAAAACTTTGATTAGCAGAAAAGAAAAGTATTTTTCGTGATGCCAATTAATTTTTAATAGTCAAACATTTTTTTTAACCAGTCGTAATTCGGGTCTGAGAGTTGGGGAACAACGCTCGCGTCGTCGCCAGGATAATCAGGCCTGTGTTTGTTGGTAGCTAACCTTTCGAAAGAGTCGCGTCTCACTTGCACCAATTGAATTATTACTCCGTATAACTGTTTCCAAGTTATGCGTTGTTTGCATTGATTGCATACTTTCGCTTTACTCACTACCTCCTTTGAGGCCACGTTTAATTAAATTGGTGGAGATCAAACCTTTTGATTAATTTATTGTTCGCAGCTCCAACTTCCTATATAACGGTCGATTTGAGGCCTCTCTCCTAAAGTGGAATAAATAACACGACATTTCTGAAGGGGACTTTGGGTCAATAGTTCGATAATTACGAAAATTATTAAGACGTATATACCTAGAACTAAGTTTTGCGATTTTTGTAGAGATACTACAATATTTAACATAATCATGAACTCAAAGGCCCTTTCCGAGGGGTAGGGTTGTATGGCGACTAGGTGAAATAATGGACCGATTTCAACCATTTTCAATGGGCTTCGTCGTTGGGAGAAACACGTATGGTCCAAACTTCAGCAAAATACCTTGAAAATTGCGACCTGCATCTTGCGCACAAGGTTTACATGGACAGCCATGAATAAACAGCTAAAAAACCAAAAAAAATCGCAGTCTGTATAAAAACACACATTAAGTTGACCTTGATGGCAAGAGGTCTTGATTTAAGGAGAGAGGCCTATTTTTTTCCAAAAACTAGTCCCAAAAAATTATTAAAGTTAATAAAAATATTTAAACTACACCATTTTCAACAGAAATTCAGAAAAGCTCAATTGTAAATGAGATTTTTCATTTGAAATTCAGAAAAGAACTATTGAAAAAAAATCCCATTTTCAATAGTTCTTTTCTGAATTTCAAATGAAAAATCTCATTTACAATTGTTATTTCATTTAATTTTATATTTCATTTAGACAAGAGCAATTGAAAATGTGAATTTTCATTTATAATTCAGAAAATATCAATTGAAATTGAGATATTACATTTGAAATTCAGAAAATAACAGTTGAAAATGAGATTTTTTATTTGAAATTCGGAAAACAAAAATTGAAAATGAGATTTTTCATTTCAAATTCAGAAATTCCAATTGAGGATCAGATTTTCAATTTGAAATTCAGACAATTTCAATTGAAAATGAGATTTTTCATTTTAAATTTAGAAAAATTCAATTGAAAATGAGATTTTGTAATTCATATTATCATTTTCATTTATTTGTTTCTCATTATAAACTACTTGAATGTCCAATATAAACTACTTGAATGTCCAAAAAAAATATTCACAAAATTTTATGGGGCTTGGTCCATATTTGCCTCTAGCCCCCATATAAAGCCTCTTTTAGCAAATTAGTTTTTTAAATGCTTTATTATGAAAAATAAATCACCGACCGATTATACTTTCTTACTTGTTTTCAATTGCATTTTTCTGAATTTCAAATGAAAAATCTCATTTAGTTTTTTTTTTTTTTATTTAAAATGAAAATCTCATTTTCAATTATTTTTTTCTAAATTGTATAAATATCAAAAAATTCTGAAATTGACTAAACCAAATGACAAACCATTTTTTAAATATTTGTCTGTATGTCTGTTCATTACCAAAAAACTTTTACAAATTATTAGAAATTGTTTTTGTATTTCAATACAAATATCAAATATTTTTGTGAAAATTAGTAACAACTTTTAGTTATTGAACAGACATTGTATAAGCTTAAAATGACGACAATTTCGACACCCATTTCGATTAAAAAAATTAAAAGAATATACCTATAAAACCAACTAAAAATCATTTTGTGGGCCCAAAAATTCTCTACAAAAATATTAAGATTATTTTTTCCCGTAATATGTTCAAAACGACGGAATTTTTGAGACCCATTTCGAAATAATCGTAGATTTTTATTTTTCAATAAAAGGTCAGGTGAGGATTTTCAATCGCTGGTAGGGAAATTGGAAATTTGTTTTTTATTTTTCTCGTGTTCAGTACTTTAATACGCATCACTTGAGGGGTATTCCTAGATGAAATTCTTAAAGAAATTGTTCCTTGTAAAAACAGTTTTTCAATTTATGACACTATTGAATTTACTTCAAAATTTTAGAAATGGATCTCAAAATATCAGCAATTTTCAGCTGATTACGGTAAAAATAATTTAAAAATTTTTTATAGTGTTTTTTTTTTAAGGAAATTAATTATACTAAATATATGAAAAATAATCAAAATTATCAATATTAATTCTTGATAATAATCAACAAATTTTTTGACTATTTTCATTAATTTAAATTAATCCCTGATTATTCAAGAAATTGAAAATAATCGTAATTAATCAATTATTTTACCTTTTTAATAAAAATCATCTAATTGTTAATGATTACGATTTTTAATCATTTTACAGCTATGGTATAAATGTTATTTTTATTTTTCACTTCCGACAAAATGACAAAAAATAAAATACGTAAAAAACAATTAATTGTTTGCATTTTGTGTTTTTGATTTTTATTCTGCTTTTGCATGAATCACTTTTTTCATTTACACTTTTGAGTTGCAAGTAATTTGTTATTTATTTAAAAAAGTAAGTGTAAATATTAGATACAGTAGACGGCAATGAAATGAGTCACGTTTTGAAATAAAAATATAAATGAAATAAAAATACACATGCATATATTAGACCGACTCACAAAAATGGTGCTTTCAAAATATACGTTTTGAGGAATTCCATTTTAAATTTAAAAGATTTTTCCCATAGTCACCGATTTTGACCAAATTTTGTAAACACGTAAAGGAAAGTAATCGAGAGTGAGCACTGATATTTTGTCACTTAAATTTTAAGAACTGTGGCAACCCAATAGTTTTACAATTGTTTAACAATTTCTTAAAATGTGTTAAAAAAAATTCCATATAAATAGAAAAAAATAAATAGATTACCTGAATTTGAATTTTGAAAATTTCGGAGAAAACAGCTGGTAAAGGAAAAATATAACAAATATAAAAAACAATACAAAAATGAGAATAATGCATAGCTGTAAAATAATGATTAATAATCGTAATCATTAATAATTAGATTATTTTTATATATATTTTTCAATTTCTTGAATTATTTATTGACTTTGATTAAATATAACCTAAAAATAATCAGGGAGTAATGAAATAAATTAAAATAATCAAAAATAATCAAAAAATTAGTTGATTATTTTCAAGAATTAATTTTGACTATTTTTCATATATTTAGTATTTCCTAAAAAACTTTAAAAATATTTTAAATTATTTTTCATAATCAGCTGGAAATTACGGATTTTTTGAGATCCATTTCGAAAAAACTGCAGTAACATTTTTCTAACATGTTGTACTAAGATCAAGATTTACAATCGAAATAAACTTGAAGTTATTAAACACCACTTCCACAGAAGGTAAAAAAAATTCACTTAGTGCTACTTTTGAAGTGGTGATAAGTATAAGGTACTTAAGGTTTTATTATTGCTGAGAAGGAAAAGTTGATATTAGTCGGATTGGTTGAAAAAGTTTTTACAAACCTTAATTTCGTTGCTCTGTATAAATACTCAGAAATGACAAGTGAAAATTTCCTAAATTATGTAGTAAAAAATATCTAGTTTAAATAATTATTAGTAAAAATAATATTACAAAATAGTTCATATAAAACTATAGAGTAGAAGAGGGACTGAAGCAGTAACGTGCTAAAAACGAAAGTGTTTCAGTAGTCGTAATAACAAAAATCGATGCTATGTGTACGTACATACATACATATATAAGTATGACCTTTAAGCCATTTTTTAACAATGATTCATTATATCCCAGCAAAAAGTTACATAACAAAGATGTTGTTTAATCAGAGGTGCAAGTAATGACGAAGTGGTTCGATTTAGGTGAAACATGCATGATTTAAACATTAGCGTGTCTTTGGAGATCATGTGTTTATGCGAGAATTTCGAATAATCGAACCAATGCAATTTCAATGATTCGAAAACGATTTTTCATTGGTTCAAGCTATTTGTTTTATATGTATTTTTAAAAGATATTTTAAGTATTTTTAAGGAAAATATTATAATAAATATAGGAAAACATATAATAAAATAATATTAATAATCAAAAATATTTCTAATAACACATAAATTTCATTTGATTAAATTAAAAATCTGAATTAGTTTTTGAAGTTTTAAAGGAATTTTTTAACTGCGGAATAGGTTGAATTTAGGAAGGCATTTATAATAAGTTGTATAAGCACTGTTATTAAATAGAGTCCTACCGAACACAAAATTTCGATCGGTACCGAACACCGAACCCGAACTTCGGTAAATTTTAAAGTTCGGCCGTACTTTGTTAGGTTTTCAAAGGTCGGTGAACACGAACTTTTTTCTTAACTGAAAAACGCATTTATGAATAAAAAGTAATAAATTTATAACATTTAAAACCAAAATATGAACATCCGGAAGATTTTTTGAAGAGGGTCTTAATTATCAACTAATTCCGAATTCCAGAGATTGATAAATTTCTACTAACAAACCATTTTTGTGAAATATTACTTTTATTTTTGGGTTTTAAACGATTTATTGACAATGACATAATTCTCTGTAAGAGCACGCAGAGAAAAAACATGGTTTTAGTAACCATGTTCTAAGAGCAACATATTATGTTTAAAATTATGATTGTAGTCTAAGCATATTATTGTTATTGTAACAATTTTAAAATATCATATTATGATTAAATACCGTCAAAATATTTCATCATGATATTTTTGTATTTATCAAAATATTGTTATACATGATCATATTATGATCCAATGTCGTTTTAAATATGTATCGAAATCAAAATGAATTTTATCGAATCAATAAAATTACAGTTTCTAAAAAAATATATATAATATAAAGATAATATACTTACAATACTTAACACAATTCGCAAATTTCAATTTGCCGATTTATATGAAATTTTGAACATAAAAAAATGTATGTATAATTTCATAAAAATACTAGTATTTTTAAGCCTGTTATGAACGTAAGTCATTTTCTAAAGCGAACTTTACATGGAGACCATGTCCAAATGTAAACCGATTTTGTCCATTTTGAATACCAATCAAACTGCAACAATAGTTTACGTCCTATAGTTTTTTCAAGAGAATGTTTCACTTTTCTTAGCTTTTTAATCAGTTTCTGGTTAACAGTTTTTCAAATCAGCCGAAAAAACGAACAGTTAAAAAAGCGTTTTGTACCTATATATGTATATCGTAAACAAATTTTCAGCATTTTTAAAACTTTTTGATGATGTAAAAATATGATAATTAAACATTTTATAAAAAGTTCGGTTTCGGTCAAAATTTCGCCGAACACCGAACATTGGCCGAACCTTACTTTTTACCGAACCCGTACCCGAACGTTCGGTCGGACACTATTATTAAAAAAGTCATGAAACATACATTTACTTTGCACTACTGCAAAATTTTTTTGCTGGGATACTTTGAAGTATTTATAGTAACAAGAGGTATGGCTTTAAATACAAAAATTTGGGTGTGTATGAATAAGAAATCAAAAAAGCCCTAAGTTACAAAATCATCAATATCAAAATACAGGTTCCTGCTAAAGTTTACACTCCTAAAATTAAACTCAAGGTCCCTATCAAGGAAATTCGATAACATTATGTTCTAAATTATCTTAAAATTCATAAAAATTTAAAAATTCGTTGGAATTTTTAACGTCGAAATTTTAAAAGCAAAACAAAAATGGCACTTTTAATGATTTAATTATCATCTTTGTGAAAAAAGGAAGTCGAATTTCGTCCTATTTGAGCTATAAAAACTGCTTTAAATTTAGTTACAAAGGCTTTCATCTTAATATTTTCAATGTAACTTACATCCTATTGGTTTTGATTTTTTTTCATTTTATTTATTCCTTATTGTTTGAATCAGTTAATGACTACAAATATGCATTTGCATAGATATCCTTATCCTGCTAATTACAAATTATTTTCTAAAACATTATACAATTAAAATCGGTTATCGGTTGTATTAATATTTGTATGAAATAATTTTACTATTTAAAATTTTAATAAAACTAATTCATCACGGGCAAAATAATTAAAGGTTTTTTTAGAGTATTTTTATTCCACAAAACGACCTTTAGTGCATTATAAGGTGCATATATGTATGTATGTAAATTTCAAAACAAACTAAGATATAGTATTGTGAATCGCTCAGTTCCTCCGGACTCTCTAATACAATCTGACTCTCAAAGAAACTTTCGAAAAAAACTTTTTTCAAATAAATAGTCTCATGTGTTTATTACATTTAAGATCTATTTTTGTACGTTTTCCATTGATTAACAGGAAGTTATTAATGTGTTTTTCATAAGTTCTTAAAAAATAATCATACATATAAAAGTTAATATTATTCTTATTGTGAATAAACTAACAAACTTTGTTGGGAAAATCATTTATGTATTTAATTTTAAGTTTGTAAAAATCAGAGCATTTATTTTTCGCGTTTTGTTACGCTTGACGTAGTTATTAGTTTCCAGTTTAATTTTATAAAGCAACCAACATACAGTCAAAAATATAAGGTATTGTTCACAAAATTATAAACATATACACACACATAAAAAACAAATAAGAATATAAGATACCAGTGAGTATGTTAACAATGTGGATTATTTTTTATACTAAATCATTTATGTTGTTTTTCATTTTTTATTTGTTGATCAAAAAAGTTATTTTTTGAAAGTGTGTTATATGGGAGCAGGGGTAAATATGGGCATATCCTCATAAATGTTTGAAGCGGGATGAGCTCCATAGTATACATACAAGTGTTTATAAGTCAATTATTGACCTTCAAGTAATATTCAGAGGGGGACTTTGTACGGGGACCAGGGTCAAATGGGTCCCTATCATTACGAAAATCTGCAGTATCATTGTGACTTATTTATAACTAAGTTGTACCGATGTTTGTAATGAAAGTAGCTAGGTTTTATGGTATCTAGATAAAATAATTATCCAACTGCAACCATTTCCAATGGCATGCGTGTCAAATTTCATCATTACCTTGAATTTTAATAAAAATTGCAACCTGTAGCGTGCGCGCAAGGTTTACATGGACACACAGTCGGACGGATGAACATAGGTTAATCGACTCTGAAAGTGATTCTAAGCCATTTGGTATACTTTAAGTTGACTGTAGGGCCAATATTTTTGGGTGTTAGAAACATAAGTACAAACGCATAATACCCTCCCACTATAGTGGTGTAGGGTATAATTAATAATGTTGAACCACAAGTAAATAAAATTGTTTAAAAAAGGCAAATACATATATAAAACAACAATTATCTGTAATAAACAAAAAATTTCTAGAACTAGAATTTCTAGTTGATTATTGGTAGAATTTTAACCAAAATATTGATATCCAATATAGTAAATTTTTAACGCTAGCTTTGGCACTAAGCATGAGTATTGGTGCCAGAGCTAGGGTTAACCAACCATTATTATAAGATAAATCAGGATCCAAAGAATACGACCAATTTACTACAAGACTGGCATAACTTATAATATGCCCATTAGGGTTATAACTTCTTTTGAAATTTTTAAAAATTTCAAATCGGCAATATCCATTCAACATAGAGTAAAAAAAGTATGTTGAAATTTTCACTTTTTCCCTAGCATATAGTCGAAACATAACACATATTATATTTATTAACACAAAATCGGAAATTTTGATTTTGATGTGAACAAGTGTTTTACCCACGATATTTATATGCAAGGATAGAGGCTGCGGGTTACCATTTTCCAAATTTAGTACTGTTTTTATAGAAACAATTTTCTTATTATAAAAAATATGTATTTATAATTTAAGAAAAAATCAAATTACAAATAATTCCTTGAAATATAGCTTTTGTCCCTATTACTACATGAGTACCGGGTTATGTTTCATGCAACAACAAATATTTGAAATATGTAAATATTTATAAATAATTAATTTGTATCTACATACATATGTATATGGTTATATAACTTTGTTTTTAATAAATTAGCTTACAGCCTGCTCGCTTATTTGCTAACTAACATACATAAATATGTACATATATTTTGTAATACTAACGATTTTCTAAATAAATTATTTCTTTAAATTAATTTTTTTTTAATTTCTCAACAGTAACCACTAACCAAATTAACTCAATCAATCAATCTTTTATAAACTTTATGATCTCTTTATATGTATTGTTTTTTCTTTCTTTTTCCCTTTCTAAATAGGATGAAAAAAGCCTGGACATAATCGGCCAATATAAACCAGAAATATTTTGTTAAAAATAAATATTGAAAAATATTCATGCTAATCATGTTTATAAAGTCAACCAATACCACATGTATCTTTTCTATATCAAATGAAAAGTAACAAAAGTAATATGGAATGATCAAATACAGAACAATCAATAATCTATATAAAAAAGAACAAATTAAACTAAATCAATTTTGAACATCCCATCATTAGAAAAAATATAAAAAATAAAAGAAAAACAAGTATCTCACACATCACTCTACAATTAAGGATTACAATAGCATCGTTATACAAACATATTATTAATATTTTATAAAACAAATACAAAATATTACATTTAAGAATATTTAAGATAAGTTTCAGTTAAAGTTTTTTGTGTTTCGTTTGTTTGTGTTAAATCTAGAAGAAAGAAACATTTTTTGTTTTGTATGTTTTAAGAATCTCAATTAATTATTACTGTATATTGTTTAATAATTGATTTTATCATTGAATACGTTTCTTTTGCGTTTGAATCGCTGCTTAAATCCACACATCATCCACCACTATCTTCGTCATAACTTTTGTTGTAATTCTACCTTTCTTGGATTTAGTATTTGTCTAAAAGAAGCAGGTAAGTTTTTTTAGTAACTTTAGTTGATTCTGACAAAATAAACTAATCGTAGACTAACCCAAATACCTTCGGTCTATTTTTACATTCTGTCTTTCTTTTCTTTTTATCTGTTGTCTTATATTGAAACTTTTTATATGATTGCTTCTTTGTATGTGCTTTTAAATTGCTTTTTTAAATGTTTAATGTCTATATTATGTATTACAAAATTTATGGGTGCCAATATTACAATATTCGAAAATTGATCGATATAAAAATTTAGTGGTTTTTAAATCGTTTGAATTATTATTTTTTAATTTTTTATAAAAAAATAGTAAACAGACACAATTAAAATAACATTTTCCGTAAACTTTATCGATTTCGAACTTGGGGATTTCTTGTAATTATTTATATATTTGTGAAGCAAGAAACCAATCAAACTAAATTTGCGTAAGATATAGGCAGTTACGGGTGCGTGACTTTATTTGTCAAAAGTAGACTTTTCGGTGGAAATGCCTATTGTATGTGGTACAAATAAGGTGCATATTGTCAGAAAGTTGCGGTTGAATAGAATATATTGATGCTTAATATTTCATTGAAATGGCTAGGAATCGATACTATTTTTCTGATTTATTTCAATAAAAATCTGTTTTTGAAATTTGTCAAACACCTCCAAAATCTTGCGATACGGGTGAAATACCGGGTTCTCGTATTTAAGCACTTACATATATGTATATCAATAACTAAATTTGAATGTTTTTACAAAGTATTTTATATAGGAACCATTAGGAATGCATTATTATGCTTTTATTCATGAGTTATTGATCACATTCTTAATACAAAGTTGTTCAAAAACTGATTATATAAACATGAATTTGAAATCGGGTTAGATTCAAATAAGTTAATGACTTAAAAGTGCTTGTTTGTTTTATGATGATTCTCAAAATATTTTAAGTCTAGCGATGGCCGTTTATAACGGCCATCGCTAGACTTAAACTGATTATTGTGTTGTTATAATTTTGTTGCATAAGTTAGTAATCGAATTAATTTGATTCAATAAACAAAATTTTTTATATATTTCTGATCATTTAATGCATTCTAATATTTTTTATACAAAATTCTAAATTACACATTAAATTCTGTTTTTTGTTTTTTCCTGTGAAGCTGATAGGTTCAATTTTACAATAAATTCAGACCACAATTTCTATTATTTCCAAAACGAAAAAATCAAGTAATGTTTTGTTTGTACATGAAAAGGTAGAAAAAATACATAAAAACTCAACCGATTGATGTTTAGGCCTGAAGAGTTTAAGTATTGATTTCAATTAACTAAAGTTGGTTAAAATATGTACATATTTAAATCTGACCTTGCCGGCATAGCTGTCCGAAAGTATATTTGATAAGCAATACTTTTAAAATCATTTTAACATTACTATTTTATTTATTTATTTAGTTTAAGTTTCGAAACAATTAGCTAAGCGGCATATAGACCCAAGTACATATGTATGTATGTATAGTTATACGAAAGTTATATATCATTATAACATAAAGTCATTAAAAATTGTCCCTGAAATGTTATATTTACTGGCCTACTAAACACCTCAGCTCTGTTAATAGTTATCGATTTCATTGTAAAAAAATATTTTTATTTATATTCTTTTTGCTTTTCTAGATGGCCCATGTGGTTGGCGTTCCCAAACGCGATCCTTGCCGAAAATGTCAATTACCTGTTTTTTTGGCTGAGCGCTTGATGGTAGGCAAAAAGGTCTACCATCGTACATGTTTAAAATGTGCTCGCTGTGGTTATCAATTGACACCCGGTAGTTTTTACGAAACTGAAATAGATGAACAGTACTGCTGCGAAACATGTCCTGACGAAGAAGTATTACAAACTAATACTGAAGCACTGCCTGTTGGCAGTGGAGTTACTACTGCAGTAGATAGCTCGGATGTCGAATTAAGAAATAAAGCTGAAAGCGAGCAAAATATTTCACCTTTTTCATCAAAATCTGTGCGCAGTTCCATAAAAGACCGATTGGCATTCTTTGAAAATCAAAGAGCGGAAGACGATTCAGACACTAAACTTTTGCAAAAGAGTTTAAGTGACGAAGAAAAATCAAAAAGTTTACAACGAATGGAAGATACTTCGGAAAATGTTGTGGCAACTTATAAACCTAATGTAGCTTTATCAACTTTTCTCAATAATACTGTTGACGATACAGAAGATCTTAGTGAATCGTCTTCGTATGTACTTAATACAAAAATGGAAACCTCTGATTCGGAGGACGATACAGATGATTTAACAAATGTCTCTCTACCACCAGAACTTCCTAAAAGCTTGCCACCATTAGAGGAGTTCAACATTGGAAAGAAAACTGAAGAACCTAAACGTTTTTCAGTTTCTGCACAATTGGTATTGGGATCGTCACCAACCGCAATTGGACCTAATTCAGAAAATGCTGACGAACAACAAAACATTGTAACAGAAACAGTTAAGGAAAATCAAACAACCGAATTACAAATTAATCTTTCATCTAGCATAAGAATTGATAAGACCAATAACAACAATATAAATGAAGAAGAAATTATATCGGCTCCGTCGCCCGAAATCGAGAGCTATACAGAACACCAAACTGAAGAAGAAATGGTTCAATCACATCCAAACAAACTAGAAAATAATTTAGAATATAGTGAAAATAATGATAATGATTGTACTACCAAAGACAAATCTGCAGATGAGTTTACCATGGAGGAAATAACAGTCGAAGATAAAATACAGAAGGACACAGAAGCTGCGATTAGTGAGGACATTGATTTAGTGTTGCAATCACTTGAAGTTGAAACTATGAAAAATAATATCACAATTGAAGAGAGTGTCGTTGAATTACGCACAAAATCCGAAGAGGAAAATCCAGACATTTCTCTTCATATAGAGGACAATGAAACAACCGAAAGGCTTAGTGTGGTACGTGCTCGTCTGCAACAATTTGAAGTAATTACAAATAATGATACGGGAGTAATAATTCCTTTTCAATCAAAAGACAATTTAGTTAATGACGAATCTATATCTATTAAAGAAGATAATGAGCCCCTTAATATCGAATTAAGTGAAGACACAGAAAAAACTCAAATTAAGAATATTCAAATGGAAACGGAAAAGGAAAGAATAAATCTTAAAACAACTTTAATTAATAATAAAGTGCCTTTAACAATGGAAACAAAAGACAATGAAATGATAAAAAATAATTTAGCCGATAAAGAAGAACAGTTAGAAGAAAATAACTCTAAGGATAATGAAATAAATCAGACAACGCCAGTGGATACTAGCAAAACGACTATAGAGGAATATCCAGAAGACTTAAATCCATTTAAATCAGATGACGAAGATGAAACATTTCTAAATGATAATAAAGAAAACGTCGAACTAAGAACATCAGCAAAGTCAACGAAGAACGATAATTTGAATCCATTTGATTCATCAGACGATGAAGTAGAACTAGAAAAAATGCAAAATTCAAAAACATCAACCAATTCAACGCCCAAAATACCTCCACCCAGGCCACCACCACCACGCATATCCAAAAATCCATTCGGCAGTGAAGATGAAGAGGATACAGTAAATCAAAATTTCAACCGACGTTCCAGTCTGACAGGATCGCAAAGTAGAAAGACGCCAATTCCAACTCCACGGTCAAATATGTAAGTTATCTTTTGATGTATCATTTATCTCTTTTGCCACTTCGTCACATTTATTATTCATTTGAACCATGCAACCATATCCTTCTACATATTTTCTACAAAGTTTTCTTGAAAATAGATGAGCGATAAATATTTATACAATGCCTCATTTAATAATAGTAGAACAGTTTATGGTAATAGTCAAAAAGGGCATAGAGCGGAAACTATGCTGTCAAGGACTTAAGTCTGTTAAGCAAGTTATCAAAATCCTATCGACCTTATTTATAACATACATGGGAATTTTTCATTAAGCATTAAAATTTCATTACCATTTATAGAAAAAATTTTTATGAAAAATATTTTAAGTACCATTTAATGAAAATTATATTTTTTCATTATAACTTTTTTGATAATGGTAATGAATTTGATAATGAATTTTCAAAAACAAATTTAATTAGTATTTATAATTGTCGAAAAATATATTTGATAAGAATTCAGGAAAATTTTTAGAAGATTCGAGCACAGGTTTGAAAGCTTTTAAAACCAGTTCCCGTAGCCCAAATTGGCTAAAATTTAGCATAAGTACATCTGATGACAATACAATAATATGTTCGAATATTCAAAATTAAGTTCGAAAATTAATTAAATTAAATCTCGAAAGTTGTCTTTGAGTACTCAATTAGTTACTTTTGTTTGCAAGTTTAAGCGCCCAATGGAGGTGGTTTAAACTTAAGCATGAAATGCAAAAGTGTAAACAGCTGATGCAAAAAAATTAAAACAATTTTTATAAATATAAACATTAAAATTTTCTATTTATTGATTAGTATAAATTATGCACACCCAAAATATATTTTTTTGGTTTTAAATTTAAGTTTTCATTAATTTTCATATTAATCATATTAATTCATATTAATCATATTAATCAGCTCAAAATTACGAAATTTTTAAGACCCATTTCGAAAAAATCTAAAATATTTTATTTTTCAAAAATTACACTGAGGTCAGGATTTTCAATCGCTGGTAGTACATTAATTAATATGCACGGTTCCCCTTTTTCTAAAAGGAGAAGCCGTGCTAAATCTGGACTAAGAATTTCATCATAACGGATTTCATGAAAGTGTGTCCTAAATTATTTCTATATGTGAGACTTTATTACAGCGTGAATACATTTTTGTTTAAAAATTTGTTATGATATTTGAAAGTTCGATCTGTAGACTTTAAAATGAATAAAGAATTCATACATTTTCCTTTCAGTAATAAAAAATTACAAAATATTGCATACTTTTAGTCGCTATCTAAATTACAAAAATTCACCACATTTGTTTTTATTATAGCAAGTTGATATAGCAAAAAGTCTTGATACAAATATTTTTTTATATCCATTACTTATAGAAATAACTGATTAAGAGCGGGTTTTTGAGTTGGCCATCAAATGCCAATTAATAATCAGTTTAGTTAATCTAAACATAAATTTAATCTGATGTTAATCCCCTTTGATGTTTTTGAGTACAATATTAAACTTCATAGTGTTGCATTCCAACAAAACAACAGAAAATGTCACTGTTTTTCATAAAAAAAAATTCATGTTTTATAAAAAAGAAATTATTCTTTTTATAAAAATTTTATTATTTTTTTGCATCAGCTATTTACATTTTTGCATTTTAGTATAATTTCCTCCAAAAAAAAAACTAAGAAAAATTTAGTTATTTTTCCGTAATCGAAAAGATTGCAGTAATTTCTTTTCTAATATGTTGTACTGTGATCAAGGTTTTCAATAGAAATAAACTTGATGAATTTATTGTTTTGAATAAAACAGTCATATAATTGAATAGTGTCATAACTTGAAAAATAGTTTTACATTACACTTAATGTAAAGAGGTAGGAAATTATACTAAATATATTGAAATTAATCAAAAATAATTCTTGAAAATAATCAAATTAATTATTTGATTAATTTTGATTATTTTCATTAATTTAAATTAATCCCGATTATTTTTAGATTAATTTTAATCGTAATCAATTAATAATCAGACATTTTATACCAGGGAATTAAATAATCATTACGATTATTTTTGAAAAATAATTTAATTGATTATTAATCGTAATCGAAATTTTACAGCTATGGTTTAAACCACCTCCATTGGGCGGTTAAACTAGCAAACAAAATTAACTAACTGATTACTCAAAAACAACTTTCGAGGATTATTTTTAACTTAATCCCTAATCGTTCACCTAAAGATTGGCCATTAATGATGAAAATGTGGTAACGGATGATAGGAAGTCTTTTTTTAGATCTTTTTTAATGCGCTCATAAAGATTGTAACCATTTCTATGCATTTTTTCTGCAGTTTACAAAATATATAATTTTTTCTTTAAAATTAGAAACAAACAAAAATTAAATATTTTAAAAGCGTGAAATTTATTAAAATTAAATAAATTAAATGTTTTTTTATCATTTTCAATCATGATAAAAACATTTTTCTATTATGTTTTCAATAAAGATTTTTACATTAAAATGTATAACTTTTTTAAAAGTTAAATGAGAAATATTCTAATAAAACCATTTCATTACATTAAATATATTAGTTTTAATTTAAATGTAAGTTTTTATCCTCATTAGATAGCGTAACCCGTATTTGGTGATGTATTAAAAATCCTTCGGACGGCAGTTTCAAAACACCAGTTTCAAACTTTTACAACATGAAAAATAATAAAATGCAGTAACAAACGCACCAAAATTTATATTTTAATATTTTTTCTGGGTTTTCCCAATTTACACAATGCATATTTTCAATTGGATATCATAAATTCTAATTGTTTTTTTTTTTTTTTATGAACAAAAAATTAAATTCTCTGAAAAAGTAGAAAAAAATTTCGCTAATTAACTGCATATACTTTAAAAGATTGAAAAATTATATTATAGAAATTACAAACTAATACTTTTTGGAAAAATGAGATTAAACAAACCCGTTCATATATTAAATTATAGTGTATTTTGCTTCGTAATATTTTTCCGATTAAAACAATTCATTTTAAAAATAAAGAAATTCACCCAAAATACACTGAATTCAAAATTTTAAAACAATTATTTACAAAATTAAAACCTTTTATTATCGCCGTTTATTTATAGCCCGTTTGTCTAATGTACATACATACAAATATACATTTAATTTCTTTTGGAAAAAAATAGAAATAGGTCGAAAAGTCGAAAAAATTCGGAAAATGTTAAAAATAATCGAGAAAGTAAAAGTCCATATTAAAAAAGTTGAAAAATCTACTTTTCAAAAACACAAAACGTGGAAAAGACGACTTTTTGTTTCATCTATAAAAACCTAGTAGTAAGTTGTCGAACTGCTGAGCATGTTTAACCGGCTATTAATGTGGGGAATACTACTTAAACTCTAATCTCTCACAATAAAATAAAATAGAACAGTCGTGTAAAACATATTAACTCAAACAAAGGAGTTATTTTTGTGATCGTTGTAATTAATGATAATAAAATGTACTAAAAACTTTGACTGGGAAGTATAAAGTAGACAAAAACTCAGAAAATATTCATAAATATGATCATAATATGATACATACATATTAAGTATGTATGTATATACATATGTTATGACTAACAGTGGTCTCTTAATAACATTTTACATTTTAAAATCATGAAAAAGACTTCCGGTTTTTAACCTTTTTTAGATATAAGTTGTCAAAGTAGTTGTTCTTTCGCTTCTACTATTTTTTAATGTTTTTTACAAAGCTGAACATAACATCGTTTAATTTTGACAGTGACACAGATTTTTCATTAGAGTTGTAAAAAAAATTAAATAAAAATGGTAAATATTTGAAATATTTTTAATTAAGTGTAAAATCAATGCATTTAAAAAACTATATGAAATTTGAACACGTTCTATATATGGACCATTTTCAGTAAACAGCATTGATAAAATGTAGCTGGCCATTTTTGAGTCATTATAAAGTATTTGTTTTCTGTCAGGTATTAAAACTATTTTACTACACTCTGGACTTTTTAGCAAAGTGCACTTGCAAATAGCGATACGTACATATTCTACATATAATCATCATATACATATGTACATATCTCTCATTTACTACAAAACTGGCATAATCCAAAATTCGGATTTTTTGAACTGAGGGCTACAAAAAATGCGTCATACATAAGTCTTTCATTTAGATTTATCAAATTTCAAATATGTCTATTATTTTCGATGTGATATCGACTTTGTGTTGTAAACGTTAAAACTAAAACTCACCTTTTCACGAACATTAGATAAATAATAATACTCTCTGTATCTAATTACATTTTTAAATCCCTTTAATTGTTTAAAAATTATTTTAAAAAATAGTAATATGTCATTAAACATTCAAAGCCATTTTTCTCGAAACGGCTTTTTTGGATTATGACAGTCTTGTAGCAAATGAGCGATATAAATTTTATTGATCTGTTGACTATGATCTTAAGTTGTACTTAGGGAATGGCCTACAATGACAATGGAACACGTGTGTTTTACACCTCTTCGCTTGTTAACAACAACGCTTGTGTTCAAAGAGAACTTTTCAAACAATATCGTCAGTTTAAGTTTGACTTTGTACAATACAACAACTCTAAACGCATAAACGGTGAAAAAATATTAAATTAAATTTGTTTTCAAAAAAAAAAAAAAAAAAAAAAAAAAAAGAAATAAAAAACACAATAATATTAAAGAACAAAATAAGAAAACAACTAAAAAGCAATGCAATGCAACTACATAATTAAAAATACTTTTTAAGTAGGTGTCATATGACTTAATATAAAAAATTGTAATTATTCAAATACCACCATCAACAAAATATTGCAAAGTGATGAACAAGAAGGCAGAGAGAGTGTATATCAATATAATGTGTTTACGCATGCGTACCTTTTTCTTGGCATTTAAAGTTGACATAGCAGCAGTCGTTAGCTAGGTCCGCACAAATATTTGTAATAACGGTTGTAGTTCCGTTTTAAATTAAAACAGAAACACAAAACTAAAAGCTGAAAAGATATACAAATTTCTTTTATGAGTGGCTTATTGTTAAGTACTTTGTGCGTTTGTTTTGTATAAACATACTATATGTATGTACTTTCATATGTTTGTGTTTTTGTTTTGTGCATTAATTCGTACATATGGTTTGATATTCATAAAATATTGTGACATTGGTCAACGAACTTTAGTTTAATAAACGTCAGCAGGCAACATTAATAACACTATATTTATTAGTTCAAGTGTTAATTTCAAGTTGTATACGCTCATCTATTTTGAAAGAAATCGAAGAAAATATGTATTAACCAACAACATCATCCATCCATTATCACTTTTAGTCAATCCTACCTACATTCATCGTTAATTTTTAAATAAATTACAAAATGTTAAAATACAAATATATTCCTCCACATAAACTTAGATCACAATCACAGAATCCTACACCGGAACCAACACCACGGTTGAGCACAAAAACTAATACGAACATTAGCTCATCTGCCTCGGCAACACCAAATAATTCATCCCTTCCAATATTACAAAATTCCAGTGAATTCTACGGCAGTTCCAATTCATTGCACAGCAATAATACTACTCCTTATCATCTTTTGCGAAATTCTGACGTAAGATCATCAAATAATTCTCTCAATTTGTCGGCCGGTGGAACAATTAGATCTCGAAAATCTCGTAGAGCTCCTTTGCCACCAGCTCCTGTCAAGGAATTGTTCCCGTCAAATGAAACCATTAATAGCAGTTCAAAAACATCTACTCCTAGCTCGAGCACCGTTGGTACTCCAAAATCGGCACGAAAGAAGAGGCCCGCACCGGCTCCTCCAAAACCGGCAAGACTTGAACCATCACATGTTCCACAAATACATGTTGATACAGTAAGTACGCAGCCAAAAAACTTGAATAGTTACCCTCTGCAGAGTGAATTTGACTCGAAATTATCCGACGAAGAGAAAGCTTTGTTGGAGGGTAAGACTTTAGAGTCGCTGCACAGTAATGAATCAGATTTAACAGTATCACCGTCAAGCAGACGAAGCTCCAAACGATTGATACCACTGGACAAAGAACTACTAGAAGAACATGGTACTCTTCAGTATGTGGAAGAGAACATTAGTCAATGCGATGATTTGAAACAGCAAAATCAATTAAAATCCTCCGCTGCGCAGGAGGAAGAACCGAGTGTTGTGTATCGTCGCCTTTTGATACCACAGAATTTAGAAACTCCAACGCATGAGCACAACCCCCTTATAGAGGATCTGAGTAAATCACCTTCTCTCGGCGAGAGACAATTGGAGAAGCTTAAAGATAATAAAGAGGCCAACAACAGAAATCGGCAGTCTCAAATATCAGTTACCTCATCTGGTGCTGATGACAACGATCCACTATTCAATAAATCAGCACACGGCAAGTGGAAGCGCCGAAAAGGCCCAGCACCAGCCTTACCTATACCTCCGCGTAAAGTTCTACAAATGTTACCGCTCCAAGAAATTAAACATGAGTTGGAAATAATCGAGGTACAGCAACAAGGTCTAGAAAAGCAGGGTGTTATTTTAGAGAAAATGATACGAGATCGCTGTGAGGGAGAGAATGGTGAACCATTAAATTCCAGCGGAATGCCTGGCGAAAGCGGAGATTCTGCATCTGGTTCATCGACCGTGGAAAATTCCAAAGAAGTTGAAAATTTAATATTGCAACTATTCGAACTGGTAAATGAGAAAAATGAATTGTTTCGCCGTCAGGCCGAGCTCATGTACTTGTAAGTTTTTGAAGTCTAGTTATATAAATATGTAGTATAAGAGAATTGTTGTTAAGCTTCATTTTGTATTTTTATTATTCGTATAGACGCCGTCAACATCGGCTGGAGCAAGAACAAGCTGATTTGGAATATGAAATTCGAATTTTAATGGCTCAGCCTGAACGTAATAAAACTGATTCTGATAAAGCTAGAGAAGAAGCTTTAATAGAACGTTTGGTCGAAGTGGTAAAATTACGTAACGAAGTGGTGGAATGCCTGGAAATGGACCGCCTTCGTGAGGCTGAAGAAGATCAAGTAAGTTATACAAATGCCAAAGTCCTTTAGTACTTTTAAATTGAAACCTGTCCAACTAACATCAATATTATTATTTCAGAGCATTAAACAACGTTTAGAGTCGCATATAGCAAAGAGAGAAGATGATTCAAATTCCAGAAAAACATTAACAAAGTTATCTAAAAAAGAGAAAAAGAAACAGAAGGAAGCAAAAAAACTGGGCAAAAGCAAAAAACTAGATGCTGACAAAGTACGATCGTTTTCCTAAAACAAATAAAAAATTTAAACAAATTAAAAAATTTAATATGTTATTGTTTTTTGCTTTCTTTCATTTAGGATGCTGATGAATCCGAATTAGATGTGGATAAACAAAAAACTAAAAAGAAAAAGAAATTATTGATCTTCTAATTGACTGAAAAATCAAGTCCTTCTGAGTTTTGCTAATCAATGTTCCTGTGTGTGATAAGACAGGCCAACATAAATTTTTAACAAAAAATATCATTTAGCTTTGATTTTGTCCTAAAACAGTTGTTGGTTTAACTAACAATAAAGTTGAAGACCGTTCTATTTAAGTCTAATTTCCATTTCGTTATTTGAAAATCAAAATTTCTCGTCATAAAATAAAATTGAAGCAAAGCGAACATCAATAGATAGCATTTACTTTTTCTTAAGTATTTTCTATTATTTTTTAGCTTTAATTAAAAATCTAATTTAAATTTATGTTAATAATCTCACATTATATCTATTAGTTATTATTTCTATTTAAATAATATTTTCATTTTATAATCCCTATTTTGTGTATTTTATATCTATTTATTCATCAGCAATCATATTTTTATTTTTCCAAAATTGGTGTAATTTTCAAGAAAAATATGCATATACATTTTTTATGTTATTACAAAAATATAAAAAGTTAAAATCGTTAAAAATAATAAAGTTTTAGTTTTTCTTTATGCTTATGATTAAATTGAAGAAGTTATGGGCAAACATAATTTGATCAGTTTATGAATGTATATTGATGTTTTTGAAATATTTAAAAATATTTTCTATTAAATTTATTGTAATGTCTGAGAGCGATTTCACGTTATAAACGCCAAAACTAAAAGATATTTGATATGTAAAAAATTAAATAAGATACATATTAACCTCTACTATCTCAATCTGGATTAATTTTTCACATCCCATGTTATCTTTAAACGTTTTTTAATAAATATTAAAACATTCAAGCAGTTTCGAAAAAATTATTGAGTTATGGCAGTCTTGTAGTAAATGTGCGATATAAATATAGTAGGCTTAGCAGAAATAGATTTCATATAAAAAAATTTACTCTATACATACTTCATTTTTATGACAAACTACTTGAAAAATAACAAAATTTTATATTGTTTAAAAAACTGTGTTAGGAATGCCAATAGGGATTGTTTTTTATAAATCCTGGAATTCTAAATTAAAAAAAAAAATCATTCTCTAATTCCTTATTTTGAAAATTTATTTACATTTAACATTTTTAGTTAAAATAATTATATGTATACCTGTTGAATTAATTTTGTTTGCATTTTCATCCATTCTTATTTATTCTTTAAAAGTGGTCGAAAAAATTAGTAAACTGGGGAATTTTTGATAGCTAAATTAAAGTTGGAACAGGTCTTGGGATTACAATTAAGGGATTAAAAGTCACAATCACATATACGCTAAGAGAGATATTGGGGGTAAAAGGTTACATTAATTTTTGTTAAGAATATCTCGCTTACTGTGATTCAGAAGCTTCTATATTTCGGTCGACAGTTAAATTTTTTTACATTTTACTTACAGACAACTTTTACATATCATTACCTTTTCCATTGCACTGATATTTTCAGACAAAAATTAATAAAGTTTCCCATTCGGAATTGGCTTTTGCGAATACCGGCATTAAGGATTTTCTATTTCCAAAAATTCTGCAATTTTTGGAATAGGCATCCCTACGTACACACATATGTAAATACTTAAAAAAATATTTAAAAAAATCATAAATTTTGTAAATTTATAAGGCCGCAGGAGTTTAGAAATCAAAATTATTAAAGTTATTATTTCACCGGAATTTCAATTTAGATCGATAAAAAATGTCTTATCAAATAAAATCGACATCATACATTCAGCGCATGCCATCGAAGAGCAAACAAAATGACCAATTACAGATGCTTCAAAAAGAGTATGAACGTATGAACTTTTTAAATGAGTCTAAGATTGAGATGAAAATGCGTCAAGTACGCTTGAATAGGTTGTTTAAGGAAATTGAACAGATAAAAAAATTTAATTTAGAGAGACGTCATCGGATGCACCCTAAAAGATGCGACAGTTCTAAAACCAAAGAAACTGAACGGTTGCAAATCTTCAAAAAAGCTAAAAACTTGGGTCAGTACTTTTCTCAGCGCAATTTAAGAGAAACAAATAGGAAAAGGCGTCAATTACCCCGAAAGAGTCGCAGACTGGCAGAGGCACAGCCAGAAACTTCTGTATTAAAACGCATCAAGTACGGGAATGAAATATCTAATTGGAACATGCAAAATATTCAACATAAGAATGCATGTAAAGAGTTTAGAACATATCGTAAAGAATGCTCAACCAATATTAAAATCAATTTTAAAAACCATCCAAAAAGCAATATTAAAAAATTAAAAAAGACAACTCATTTTGTCTCCAACTCATTAAAAAACAAGGAAGTTAACACTACATCGAAGATACAAGACAATTCAAACGACTGCATTAATCTTCATATAGATAGAAACGGTGAAGCTAAGACTTCGGTTTTAACTTTAAGTGGAAATGTTCATCTTATAGATTTAGAAATTTGCGATAAAATGCATGAAGCAATATTAACAAATGATGACAGTCTTCAAGTCATTGTACCCTATAAATCACCCAGAGCTGTAAAAAATTGGCAAAAACTAGCAACACTTATAAGGGATAAATCTAAAATATATCAATCAAATAAAGTTTGTGAACAAACCGACTATGAAACCAAGCATCTTAAAAAATTGAACAACAAACAATTGGAAAGTTCTGAATTCCTTAGAAATGGAAGGCCACTTAAGTCCTTGGATGAGAAATTTAGTTTTACCCCAAATCTACCAGACTCAATGCCCGATTTTATACAAAATAGTAAATGCTTAAAGCCTCTTACTATTTCGGCCAATGATATGTATTACCCCGGTTGGGAAGAAAAACATTATAGTTCCAAATTTAGTGTAGGAAAGTTACGTAGAGTTTTTGAAAATAGTAGTTAAAATTAAAAACTAATTTTATTTAACCAAATGTAAAAATTAAAAACTTTATCATCATGATACAACCAGTAATTGTTATATTATGCTTTATCATAAAATACAATTTTATCATAATTGTTGTTAAAACACGTGTGTATGTATGTATGTATGTATGCATATAAAAATTGTTTACTTTCTTTAATTCATTTATTTAATTTTAGCGGGCACAGAGTTCCAAGCACAGCTTAATGTATTTATAGATACTGTAATTATTGTTAAAATCAAATTTAATAAGAGTTACAGTATTTCTTATTGACTTAAAAACAGCGACATTTGTCAATTGGACAATTAGAGCCATAGTTAAGGCAGGCATCCATACAATATGTGTCAGCACCTTCTTTTCCCTCCAGATCACCAATGGCAACACACTCGTTTCTGCAAAAGATTTTAAAAATTAAAAAAATAATCTAGAAATTTAACATTAAACTATAGATTATAGGCTGCACTACCGATAACATTTTATTCGTTGCTGACCATAATCGATTTTTGATTATAATGATACTTACGGACAATGACATGCTGTTTGTGGACAATTTGGTGGATAACGCAGACAATTCGTTTCACACCATTGATCCATACCAGGTAAACTCCGGAAAGCATTTGAGGCAATACATTTTTGATCTCTGTAATTCAGGCATGACCCAAAAGAAAATAATAAATACATATCTTATCCTACAAAATTATTTATAACACATTTATAACGCACTACAGTAGACAATCGAAATGCTTTTTAAAAATTTTATGGACAATATGATGTTATAATTTGAAATACAATGTCAAATTAAAAAAATGTGTATTATAGAAGCACGAATTTAAATTTATAAAAGTAAAATAAAAGAAAAAAAGTTTATAAAGCAATGCACAGCCATTCCAAAGCACGCCAGTCAATTAAAGTCGAGAAGGAAAATGAAAATATTAAGCTACGGAAAAAAAATAAAAGCATGACCACAGGTTTTAATTTACAGATAAACAAAAAATCCGTAATATATTTAAAATATATATCTTTCAGATAAACATTTGGCCAATAAGAGAGAAACAGTCTGGGATCGTCTAAGTAAAGTCAAAAAAGCGCCCAGCACGGATAATATTTTAGGAGTAATGAGATCACGTCCTAGTATTACTTCTAAAACTTCACAACGTTTTCAAACTTTAAAGCAGTTACCGTTTAATCAGTCAATTCAATTGACACGAAATCCATTATTACCAACTGCTAGTTCCAACAACAAGCTCTCGAATGTGACTAAAAAATGCTGCGTTCAAAAGCCAAGTGCTGCCTCTGGAACTGAAAAGGGAGCCTTTTTACATATTGATCCTATCAAAGAGATAATGACTGCTCGCAGTTTCAGTGATGAATCGAAATCTTTATTAAACAGCAAATTAGGTTCCTCGGAGGATTCGAATGAAGAATATGAATTGGCTCCAATTATGAACTCTGAGTACGACTCTACGAGCAGTATAGTGATATTGAACAATGTTCGTGAATTTTTGCAACAACACCAAAAATGTATGACCTTGGAAGATATTGAAATCGTAAAAGATGTTGTTAAATCCGACAGTAGATATAGAAATGTGGACCAGAATCCCAAACTCTTTGCAGAAATTCTAAAAACTCAGTTGCAAAACACATTAAAACACGAATTTGCTATTAAAAATGTTTTAGACTGTTTGGAATCGTCGGGTTTAGAGCAAAATCTTCAAATCGAAACAACCAAATCTATAAACAAAATAGTGAGTTATTCGGGCAATAATACAGAAACTCAAAAATTCGAAGTCGATATTATATTTAAAAATGTTCCATCTTTAGATAAAGAAATTGAAATTCTTAGAGCTCTCGGTGAAAAATTGGAAGCTACGCTGAAAAGTTCAACATCTCTTAGAAAAAATCATGATGATTTAGGGACAGATAAGTCGATTTTCACACCCTCAATCGCGAAAGATAAAAATCGGCGTGTAATGTCTAAATTAAGATATGAATTGTACGTTTTAACTGGTGAATATAATGCGGAGGTCTCAGTTCATCAAATTGGCATTCGACTTCATATGGGAATTATAAATGAATTCTATATGGCTCAAAAAACAATCATTGAGCTTAAAGAGGAATCTAGTCGTCCATTCTATGTACCAAGTAATTTGGAAAGCCTTCAGCTGAAAAGAACATCTTTTAAAAAGCTTAAGGAAACCCCAAGCGAATTAATGCGTTATCTAAAGCCTAAAAATTCTAAAGTTGCATTCAACATGCTAGAACAAGATCCAATATTTTTTAACAATTTATTCAATAAATCTGTAAAGCTTTGGAGCATTCCCTATGATTTGTCTAAAAACTACTATTATACCGAAGAGGACCAGCATATGACCATGAAGCATTCCCTTTCTGAGGGTGGTGATAGTGTCCTATGGGATCAAATTAAGGATGAATCACATACAAATTTTACGAAAGCATTAATTGTTAAGGACTCTTATTACAAAACATTACGTGATACCGCAACAACTTCAAGTACTTTTGAGCCACCCATTAGGGGCAAGCAACGCAGGCGCATAAGACGTTATTTGACCCCAACGCCAACTAGTACCTGTTGTAATCCAAAAAATACATTGTTCAAGACAGTTTTAGTGGGAATTGTACAAATGTCGGTATTCATAATATTCATAATGGCCTTAACATATCCGGATGCCAGGTGTTAAAATGTTTCGACTATTTTCTTTTACATAAATTGATTAAAAAGAAATTACAGAAGTTCATTTTTTCAGATTTAACTCGTAAAAAATTATCTTCAGTAATATCTTTTATCTTTAAATATATGTAGACTGGTGTTTAATAAATACATTAAATTATTAGTATTATATAACAAATATGTAGAGGCTTGTTGATTGTTAATTATTCCCTATGATTAACAAACGTGGTAAGCTCAAAATGCGTTGCCAATAGTGAGCTTACCACGTTTGCAACGTATTTGCATAAAGTTTAGATTGCGACAACGAATTGTTGCAATGTTGACAAAGTTGCGTGGTCTACATTACATGTTGTTGTTGTATGGATGTTATTGAAAAAATTTGGACCTTGTATGGGGGGGGTTGTTTTTAGAGTCAATTATGAGCCGATCTTTATGAAATCTGGTAGATATATTTTAAATCACATTAAACTAATTTATTTTGAATTTCGACGCTATATTCGTTCTTTTATAACAGTTATGGATACTTAAACTGTATTCCGGGGGTCTACTTGTATGGGGGCTAGGTGAAAACATCTGCCGATATTACCCATTTTCAATACCAAGCAAACTGCAGCAATAGACAATATTTGTGCAAAATTTCAGCTCCCTAGCTCTTTCCGTTCGGGCTCTATCCTGCTTTCAACAGACGGACGGACACGGCTAGATCGTCTTAGAATTTAATAAGGATCCAGAATATATATACTTTTGTGGGTCTACGACCAATATTTCGATGTGTTACAAACGTTATGACAAAATCAATAAACCCCCCCTTCTTTTTGGATGGTGGGTATAAAAACATCGTACATGTTTTTCTATGTGACCGTAACTATTTAAAAAAAAATTCAAGACATAAACCATTTTCACAACAGACCATCACCTTAATAAACAGTTTGTATTTTTAAGCGAAATTCGTTCATTTATAACATTAGTTGTATGATATACATACATATTTTTAGAAATCATTGCAGAAGCTGTTTTGTAAATTCTTGAATTTTTAGAATAAAACCAACACCAATTTTAAATATATATGTAGAGTAAAACACAGTAAATGTCGTTTCATACCAAGTAATTAATCGTATTTATTTAAATCGGAATTAAATAATTTGATTAATAATTACAAATGATAAGTTAAGCTTAACCCAAGCCAACATTAAAAAAGCATACATTTGCAATACATATCGCTTCTTTACAACCACAACTCAAAAATTTTTTATATTAAAATAAAAAGTATAAAATGTGCATTTTGGAATTATTTCGACATACATAGATACATATGTACGTATGTATGTTTTTCTAGATTATTTAAGCTTGTAATAAATTATAATGTTAAATTTTTAAATGTAATTAAAACATACATACATAAGAACATAGGGACATTTCAAAATTTTTCGAACAGGGTTTTACCTTACCCTCTCCGAATTTGATGAAATTCCGTACACACATTCTGTATAAATACGAAATTTAAAGTTCTCCAACATTTCCAATTCCATTACGGTTTAGATTTTATCGTGGTTCAAAATGTCCAAAAAAATTTAAAAATTGTGTTTCTTGCTGAACACAATAAAAATGTTAAAAATTTCAGGCAAAAAATTTATAACTAAAACTTATAAATTTTGAAATTTGTATGGAAGTGATGTGAATTATTTTGCTAAAATCTGACATGACATGACATGACTCATGACACTATAACCTATTTTTGGCAAAAGAAAAATGAATATACCTTTTTTCAGATACTCTTGACTCAAAGGTATTTTTGAAAATCCTTGTAATGAAACTTATTAAAACAATAGCAATATTAAATTACAGGACATAGGCTTTAATTAACTAAACAATTAAAATCGGATAAATGGGTTAGAAAATGTATATCATGTCAAATTTAATGCTTGTTTAATTTTAAAATCTTAAAAAATAAGAACTTTGGACCTCTATTAAATCTAAACTGTAAGGAAATTGGAAATTTTGGTGAACTTTAAATTACGTATGCATGTGAAGAATGTATGTATTGAATTTCATTGAAATCGGAGAAGGTCATGTTTAAAATCCTAATTTTTGTTTCGTAATTTTATGAAATTACCCTATAAAAAATAAATATTTCGTTATATTTTTGAACATTTATACATACATATAAAACATAATAGATAAAATAGATACTTATTAAATATGTATAGTATTTATATATTTCAACATTTATAACCTAAAACATCATGTTTTTAAATTACACAGTGAGAGAAAATAAACGAAAATTGAAATACCTGGGAAGTAACTTAATTGTTCTGAAAGGCGAATCCGAGTAGAACAAGCATCTGGTTTTGAAATTTGCCAAACACCTCCAAAATTTTGAGATACGGGCAAAAACGGGGTTTCGTGCCTTTAAGCACTTATAAGTGTTTAACTTAGTTAAATGAAAACCGATTTTAAGTTTCTCCACGGATTAACAAAGAATAAGCTGAGTCCATTATAATGACATCTATGATGTTTAAGTGCACTATGTGGTCTCAGGATAAACATTCCTTAAACCAATGCCATTAGGATCAATGCGACGAACACGAGTAATTTGTATATATAGAAAGAATAAGCTGAATCCATTATAATGACATCTATGATGTTTAAGTGCACTATGTGGTCTCAGGATAAACATTCCTTAAACCAATGCCATTAGGATCAATGCGACGAACACGAGTAATTTGTATATATATATATATAAATTCCTGTAATTCCTATTAGGAACATAGGGCCTGAACGATTGCTGGACGTTTTGTATACGTTGTTGTTGTAGAGTGAAATTGCTCGTGTTCGTCGCATTGATCCTCATAGCCTTGGTTTTAGGAATGTTTATCCTGAGACCACATAGTGCACTTATATATATATATACATATGTGTATATGATGTTGAAGTTGCCTTGAGAAATTTGAGTGCATTTTATCGTCAAACATATTTTTGATTTTAGTTTTGCATCGTTTTTAGGAGATGTTTTTTCAGCGTATTTTATATAAGAACCGTACAATTTATTAATTGATTAATTATTTTGGGATAGGGTTCAATATGGACCGATCCTCATACAATTTGGTGAAAGGATTCAAGTTTATATAAAAGCTATTTATGCCGAATTTCATCGTGATATTAATGTAATTAAGATAATTATGGAATTAAAGTCATTTGCTGAAGGAGGATTTGCAAGGTCCGATCCGTTCACCAAATTTTGAGGGGATTGCCACATATTTAACCCTATTCCCCACATAAAGCATCCTTCAGAAAATCATTTTTTGAACTATTTTGTATTAAGAAAAAGATCGATAACGTCAATGGTTAACGGATTTTTAAAAACAATGTTGCTTTTTACCCATGAAGAGACGTAGTTTTCTATTACATTTATAAATAGTACTGTTCCTATATAAAATACTTTGTAAAAAAATCTCCAACTTGGAAAATGGTGCAAAACTAAAATCAAAAACATGTTTGCCGATGAAATGCACACATATTACTCAGGTTACTTAAACATCAAATATGTCATTATAAAGCCCTCACCTTCTTTTCTCTAAATCCGTTTAGAAACTCAAAATCGGTTAAGATTCAACTATGTTAAAGACTTATAAGTGCTTAAAGGTACGTAAAATTTTTACCCATATCTCATGATTTTGGAGGTGTTTGGCAAATAGTATCGCATTAAAGGTTCAAATCTAAATTTCTTCCTTTAGTTTTTTTTTTTTGAAAATTTGAAAAATCGCAAATTTAGCACTTTGTATCATAACTTAACATAATTAAAAAGTCTTAATAAAATGAAGATTTTCACAACTTGGATAGAAAAAAATAAATTATATATTTTTTGGCCGATTTAAGAAATTTGATTTTTTGCATGAGGTTCTTGATTTGGAACGAGAGGAAATAAGTGTTTTCTCAAATAACACAATATTGGCTATCGCGTGGTGGTAGGCCCAAAATTCGGTTATACCCTAATGTACATACACTTCCATATATGTATGTAAATACTTTTATACTATTATATATTATGTATATATTATATGTATGTATATTATGTATTATATATTGTATACTTTATATTATATAAGCAAGACTGTTCCAAAATTTTCGATACAAAGAATTCAAGATCAGATATCTTTATCCATACCAAATACTGGGTAAATTTACCCAGAAAGAAACTCAACAAACCAAGCGAAAAGACGCTTGGCAAATTTTTAGAACCCTTTATTGAAATTAAATTCAAAAGGGCATAACAACAAATTAGTAATTTCCACAAGTAAGAAAGTCCTAAAAAGCAACATAATAGACAATGACTGGCGGTACAGTTATATTCAAACGTCTTAATCGATGTTGGGATACAATACTTGTAAGAAAATGTCGTTTTTATAACAAAAATAACTTTCATTTTATTTAGTTTTTTGACTCTCCTGTAAAATTTTTAAAAGTGTTGTTACGCCTTTTTGGATTTCAGGTGACGATATATATATTTTTTGTATAATTACGAAATTTAAAGTTCTCCAAAATTAAAAAAATTCTTAACGGTTTAGATTTTATCGTGGTTTAAAGTTCATATTTGATAATTTTTTCTTTTTCAACAGGCATATTAAATTTGATATCGCATATTTTCTAAAAAATTTAACCAGTTTTAATAATTTAAGTCTCAAGTTAATGGCTATATATTGTAGCTTAACATAAGATAATTATGTATATCAAAACACGTCAAAAGAGATTTATTTATTCCTTCACCAAAAATATGTAACTTATAGTGTCATGAGCAAGGAATAAACATATGAGCAATTATCAAAGTTTTTTAATTCCTTTGAAATTAAACTAAATTGTTAATAACTTTGGTAAGAATAAAATGTCAAACAAATTTTTTACAGGATTATATACACAAGAATTCCAGCCTATAAGTTGAAAAATTGTAAAACTCTAGGTCTTCATTTCTAAACGAAATCGGTTTTGAAAGTTTACAAAATTAAAAAAAACGTGTGTCACTAACTAATTTTTTCACCTTCTGTTTATTTTTTTGGTCCATAGCTTTAAACTTTTGGACACTATTCGTTATAGTGTTAACTAAAGACACTTAGGAGATAAATTCTTTACAAGCTATTACGTATTAGAACTTGGATGTTGAAATTTGTCACCAGGTTTTTTCCAATTTTGAATTTTTTACAGGTTTTTTGACCGGGCGCTGACGCCCCTTAATAAAATATAAAAATTGGGACAACAGTGGTTAGCTGATGTAATTATACACAGTATGGTATACATCTCGTTAATGTGCCCTGAATAGGAGATCGGAACGAGAGCTACAAAAGTTGGAAAACTTGAACGTAAATTTTTTAAAATATTAGTTTTTGGCACGGCAAATTCGCACTTATATAGGAAATAATTTGAATTATTCCGTAAATTGAGTTTTTTGTTACTTTGAAATATAAAATCGGAGGAGCATGCAAAAATATTCGAATGCAACAATTTTATGAAATTTTTAAAAATTTTGCAAAATTTCATTTTTTTATTTTTGCGATTTTATATATCAAACATCGACTTATACAAACATTTAATGAATAGACATGAAGATAATGACAAACACAATGGTTTGGGATCATAAACGTACTTAAAATGTCCTTGTAAGCTACAAAGACGTCACTTTTATCTAAACACATTTTGCCAAGATACATCATGGATGATGCTCAAAATTCGTCAAGTTTGTTGAAAGTTTTCTTAATGCTTTAATGTAAAAAAAGCATCAAAAAAGTTAAATAATTGTAGTTTTTGTGGGCCAAATAAAATGTACCTAGCATCAAAAAGCATCACTCTATAAATATTTAATTCCTTTAAACTATAATTTTTTATTTGCATTCCCTTATAAATCAAGCTCGTAGAATTCAGATATTAACAGTTTTTTTCTTATATTTTACTAATTCACGATTTTTCAAAAACTATAAGCAACAAGTTAAAAAATTACTGAAATGAAATTTCTTACTGTGTATTTTTAAGTGCTAAATTCGAATTATTTTTACAATTATGTGCAATTTTTTTCAGATATTACATATATAAATACTATTTTTAAGAATTTTTTTAAATATTTAAGTGAAACCCGCTAGAACTTTTGCGCCCCTCGATCAAAATTATTAACGCGAACGGATTCATCACGTATTAGGGTCTGTTTATAATCACACAAAATATTTTGAATGTGTCATCAAAAATTATTTATGATTTTTTTTAACTCTAAAATTAAAAAACTTTGATAATTGCTCATATATTTAGGTGAAGGAATAAATAAAATGTAATATACATTTTTTGTACTCAAGGACATTTTTGAATATACATACATAATTACCCTTATATTAAAACTATAATATTTTACAATTGTTATATTAAACAACAGGGGAATAAATAGTTTGGAAAATATACGAAAAATATTAAAAATTTGAACTTTGAATCCAAACTGCAACTAATTTGGCAATTTTGGAGGGCTTTAAAATTTTATGAAATTAACCTCACACTTTTTTGGGAGTACTTGGTTTTTTGCTAGGAAAATAATGAACGTGTCTCCATCTATAATAATGGAAAGTAGACATTGTTTTTCATCTGTATATTCGAAATTCACAACTTCGATTTATTTGGACCAGTCTCATGTTAAAATGTACTAGTTTATTATTAAAATATTTTATTTTAAAAATAATTAAGCAGGAATATTACATACTTTCAATTGCACTTAATATTTAATTTGTTTATCTAATTTGTATTTGTTAACATTGTGCTTTGTATATACATATATAAATTTGTATGTATGTATGTATTTTTAGTGTATATGTACATATGTGTGTGTGTAATTTTACTGTGTAACTTAAATTCTGAATATGTGTTTGGGGATATGTGGATGTATGTATATTATTTATACATGTATGATTCAGCACCTGTTATATTTTTATTTGTTTAATGTTAATGTTGTTATTATCCAAATTAATACAAAGCTTTTTTTTTAACAAAATATGTATGTATGTACCTATATCTTACTCTAAAAATAACTACATATGTATGTGTGTATATTTTTATATGTATGTACATTAATTAGTGCCTTGAAGAATTTCTATAAAAAGCGAGAAAGCAAATAGTTTGATTATTATTAAATAATATTTACAAAATATAGACCCAACGAAATCAAATCCGTTTTATACGAACGGGTCTAAATGCATCCGAAAAACACCTTCTTAACTTACCTCACAATCAATGGAAAAACATTTTTATCTTCGGGAGCTCTATAATCTCTATAGTACAATAAATAGGGATTTCTATTGTTGACAAATAGAGGAGGTAAGCCTCCTCCTGTATTTGAAACGATCGCTATATCCGCACAGTTACGGAACGTTTCTTTAAGTAAAGCAATAAAATTGATCGACATTTTTAAAGAAAGATACATTAAACAATTTTAAGTAAGAATTCTTACCTGCTTTACCACAACCGACGGCTTCAGTACCATTAGAACATGTGCCCCACATATTGGCGGTATAGTAAGTCCACTGCAAAACACATTGTGTGCAAGTGACGTAGGGTGGCAGACGTACGCGATAGCGGAAAATATCCTTCTTTTTAGTATCACGAGGTATAAGAAAACGATGATCTCTACTTCCAGATATGTACAAGGGATAACGATCAAAGCACTCTTGATTGGCTTCTTTACGAGGATTATTATTTGGGCACAAGTACATCTCAAAACGACCATAATGATTTGCAGTCAACTCAACTTCAACATCGATTTCCTAAAAAGATTATACGAAAAATAAAGTATGAAATATACATATATTTCTCCAGTAATCCTTTTGAAAAGACATTTTGTACAATATTGTTAAATAATATGTAGTAAATATATGTATGTACGTACTACGTATATAACATTTTGTTAAAAATATTACCTGACCAGATGTATAATATCTTGATATAATCCCTTTTGCATATTCTCCTCCAGCTTCATGTGGACGTGGAGTTCTTAGGTGAAAAGCATCACCACAAACACCACATTTACCTTGATTTTGTTCCCATTGCACTGCATAACCTCCGCAGAATAATTCGTTATCATTGTAATTGACAGGATTTGGATACCCAAAACGCCACATTGCATTACGGGCAGGTGGATCCATTAATCGGCCATGGCCAAATACAAGAGGTGCTCTTAAGAGGCAGCCCAACACACACTGATAAAAATACATTTAATAGTTTATAAAAAAAACTTTGACTCATTAACTTACCAATATAAGAGGTAGATCCAACATTGTTGATGTATTATTTTCTTAAGATATAAATTTATCTGTAAATATTGAATATAAATATTGAAATTAAATTAAATTTTGTACCGAAGGAAACAAAGGAAATAATAACCAAATTTTTTGTATTTATGAAGTGCTATATTTAAAGTACATACTATTTTATTATTCTTAGTATTTTGAATTATTATTTTTCCCAAAGTTTTGAAAATTGAAGGGCTTGTTGCAGTAACATGATAAGCCACTCGATATCGAAAACTGATTTTATGAACTAATTGCATTACCATATGTCTTCGCTACCCCAACCAAAAATATTTTCATAACATTTTAATATAATTATTTTATATAGGCTTACTTTTACAAATTTCATATACATAATTTTAGAATTTTTCAAAACTTTAAAATCGTTTTGCTCAATATTTTTAGTTTATGGCCGAGTTACCCTTCAATTTATTTATATTTTCCGGTTTAGCGGATTTAGCAATTCCGAAAGGCCCAGGATCCCGATATCGGTATTCAGGAATTTTTAAATCAATCCCGATTGGCATCCCTATATAGAACCATAGCAAATGTTATTGTCATCAGTCACATCAAAAATTAACAAAAAAAATGCAAAAATGCATTTTAAATTTAAGTTAATGTCATTTTCATATGCCAAGTTGGATAAAAGCCAAAGACATCATTCAGATTGGTGTTGATTTTATATTCTAGTTATATTTGTGCGTTCTTAATATGAATGTTCATTTATGTAAAGACTATTATGCAAACACGTAAGAGTTTTGTACTATAAGCCAGCAAAAAAAAAAAAATAAATATCTTCCAAAGAAGGTAAAACTATGTGAGTAGAATTTTCTTGATGGAAGTACTGAAAACACTTGTTTGTCATAGGAGGGATGTTTCTTTTTATGATTACAAACTTACTACGTCTGAAGCCATGCTGATTTTTATGTTCTTTTTTGGAAGTAGTCAAATAGGTATGTGTTAATAATATAGATAACAAAATTACGCAAATTTAACATTAAAAATCACACGAACCGGATGATAGACGTCTGAAACTATAAATTTAATGGAGAAAAACTGCGATTTTAGTTTTTCATTTCGTGATCCTGTGTCAAACAATGTCAAATTTGATGTCAAGCGAACAAGAAGGGTTGGGACATATTTTGTATTATTTTTATTTTATTCTGTAAGGATAAAAAAAACCCGAACTCTAGCCGGCCTTAAGGATATCATATATAATTAAAATTATAAAATTTTTCATGACGAAATAATTTAAAATATAACATATGGGTCATTTCGTGTCAAGTGACCCAATTTTCGAAGGAAAATATATGTATGTATTTAAAATTTACAACACTTTATTTACTCCGATTATCGTTTACAACATCTATCTTTGATTTAACTGTCAAATAGGGTTGTCATTCTTAAAATAAAGAATAATTCGAATAATTTTTTTCGATTAATGGAATATTCGAATAATATTTGAATGTTACTCTTTACGAATATTTTATTATAGATAGCATTGAAATTATGTTAATATTTTGTAAAACAAATCGAAATAAAAGATATGTTATACTTAATTGGAACATAACTTTTACTACTTTTTGCAGTTTATAAAAATTTTTGTTTTGCAATGTTAAAAATAGAATGGTTCTAGTTTTGATTCTCTTAATTTTTTTCATGTTTGCAATAAGTGAAACAGATAAACATTAATTAATTTGGTTCTTTAAGTATCTTTCCTTTTACAAGAAAACCAACAATTTCTATGTGTACTGAACCCTGTTTCCTGGGCAAGGAGATACCGGTGATAGACAGAGTGTAACCCTTCACCGAAAATTAAAATGGAGACACCACATAGAGGATAATATCAAAATGAAATGGGATCTTAGTCCTACTATGACTAGTGCTTATGAAAAACCAAATTTTGGAAAAACCGGTTTTTCGGTTAACCGAGTATAAAAAAACCGGTTAACCGAAATTTTTAGAAATATTTAAAATATTATAACATTTAGTTGAAAAATGTCATTTTGCGAAATATTATGAATTACTTAATAAGACGTACATACATAATAAATCATAAGAAAACAAACTTTTACAGATACAAATGAAGATATTATTGATTCGTTAGGTATATGGAAGTTGTCATAGGAGGGATAAATTGACCTTTGAATATATAATGCATCAATTTCAATAAACAAGTAAGAAACTATAGTCGGGCGTGGCCGACCATATGATACCCTACACCAATTACGAATATTATATGTGATTCATTTTCAATCTGATCGCATATCAGATTCAGAATATGTCGGAAACTTTGAAACACTGAACCCAGATAGAATGTCTTGGTCAATTGGAACATTTCAACGAACACTGATTGGAAATTTCTTAGGAATTACGGCAAGTAAACTGAGTTTCATAACATTCAAAGATAATACATTCAGTGAACTCTATGTTGTTTTTTTTTTACCAACAAATTATTTTCTCCCGTAAAAAGCAGCGCACAACAGGGCCTATAGTGACCTGTTTGTAATACATTAATAAATAGTACGATATTCTTATATAAAACAGTTTGTAAAAACGTCTGTTAGTTAAACATCGTATACATATGTATATCATTATAAAGGCCCCAGTTTCCACTTTTAAATCCGTTGAGAAATTTAAAATAGGTTGAGATTCAACTAAGTTACTGATTCATAAGTGTATTAATGTACGAAACCCGTTTTCTACCTGTATCTTAAGAATTTGAAGGTGTTTGGCAAATTTTATTAAATTATTCGAACAAAAACTTTTATTCGTTCGAATAATTTTTAAAATTTAATCGAATACTCGAATGAAAAAAATATAGTAAATTTTTATTCGAATAATTTTAAACACGAATAATTGACAACCCTGCTGTCAAAATTTACATTAAAGGTCAATATGAGATTTGATACGAAACGTTTATAACGGTATATTTCTTACAAGAAACTAAATAAAAAGATGATGGAAAAGCTGGTGTAGATCATGAGATTAGATCCACACAACAACTAGATGTCATAAACCATAATTGAAAAATATTTTATGTTGTGTTGTAACTGAGAATAAATATTTCCTTGAAAAATAATTATTAACTTTTAAATTTTACAATAAAACTTATAACAGTTACTATTACAAAATGTAGCTTTATTTTTTAAATATTTTTATAAATATGTACATGTATGTATATTTAAGCTACAATTCGCATGATGCAGTCGAACCCACTGTGCTGTATACAAATTCATTGAAAAATTTTAATTTTTACCGTTAAAATAAACCACATACTATTGGGGACTAAACAATTAATACATTTATTAGTATTTTACATATAGCATATTTGTTTTCAATGCTAAAAAATGGCCTTTCAGGCAATCCGATTTATTACATCAAAGCTGGCTTATTATAATAAATGAAATTTTCTTGTAACTGTAATGCAACCGACAAAACTAAATCCTCAGGGAAACATTCCAAAATACGGACAGCAAAAATTTTTCACTTTAAGGTAGTCAATTCACAACAAATACAGCAAAAACCCTTTTAAGACTACTAATACATCTTCGTGACATGTTCTCAAATATCATTTCATAAAACAAATACATATAAACAAAATACTGTCGACCAGTGTAATCACGACATAAACAATAATTTACTATGCATACACATGTTTAGCACATGCTTTCATTGTAGCTTGTTATCATGATTGCAGGCGTATTTGCAACATTTTTATTAACTTATTAAACCAGTTCCTTTAATATGCCATCTTCCGCTTATATAATTTTAACTGGAGTTATGTGCATTTAAAACCGGTATAATTGACCTACCTCAAATAATGTGAAATATAAAAATATTTTCGTTTACGTGGAAGTAGAATCATGCAAATTATGCACATATACATACTACGTATGTATGTTAGTATGTACGTATGTATGTAAGTATTTGTAAAATATGTTTGTATATTCATATTTTGGAAATAATATTTTAGTTTTTTTTGTTGTCATTAATTGAGATGAACTGAAAAAACACTTTATGGATAAAAATATAATTATGAAATTAATTAATTTAAACAAGTTGAATGCGCTCGAGAATATGCATACCAAGTAAGTATTTAATCGATAAAAAATTGCCACGTTGTTTACAATTTTAAAATGCATATGGGCATTTCCATGAAAATGTAAACCACGACTGAAAAAATACTTTCATACTTCTTTTTATTTATTTTAAAATTTTATTAATTATTTTCTTAACACCGTTAAACGCAGCGCAGTGGTATAGAAATGAAAAGAGGGAAATAATTCTGTAAGTTCTAAACGGTCTGTCCGATAAGTTTTGAATGTGTACATAATGGTCCATGGTAATGAGGCGTAGTTTAAAGCGATCATAATAGTATAAAAATATAAGAAAATTGCACAGGTTACTCACAGCTGCTCTTTTATTTATCCACTAGATGCTAACTCATCATGAGGAAACTTCAGGTTAACTAAAACTGATGTATTGTGAGTGAGTATTAACTCGTTCCTATGACATTACATTGAAAAACTGAATAGTATGGCCAGTTAGTTTAAAGTTAACTCAAAATCCTACTGGGTTATTACAACATGTAGACATACGTTGTAAAAATTTAGCAAAAACAGCTTTATGTTGAAAAAAAAAATTTAAATAAAATTTATATTTATGAATACTTTTCAATGAATAATATAATTATATAATAACCTCCTAATATAATTATATAATTTGTATGAAAAATACTGGGAAATTTTTGAAAATTTGAAGTTTTTCCATACAAATTTTTTTGAACGTTTATAAGCGAATTATGAACATTGATGTCATTTTCTGAAGAAGACTTTGTATGGGGGTTAGGGTTAATACTGGGAAATTTTTGTAAATTTGAAATTTTTCCATACAAATTTTTTTGACCGTTTTTCGTTTCGTGTTATAAAATGAGACCCTAAATATCAACAAATCACATTGTTTTTAAAAATTTGGCATTTATGTTGAAAAAAATTTAAATTTAAATTAAATTTATATTTAT